GAATTTTGGATCAAATGTTGGAATCAACACGTTCTCTTTTCAAAGCTTCACACTTTCTATAAGAACAAGTGATTTAGACACAGGTTCCGTCCATGATCACTCCGTACCGGTCCAGGTCGATATTTATGAGAAGGAGAGATTCTTGCCAAATCCGTAAAATACTGCCGCTGATTTGTTGACTGGTGATTGATAATCCATGAGCTGTTTTCTTGAAGCTGGCTGTGCTCCACCAGTCTCATCCTTGACTCTTTTGATTGTGGTGATGTTGATCGGAGCAATGACGTTTGCAAAATTGAAAATGCAGCTCACGACAAATCACATCGCGACATATCCGGGTTCAAAGTGCTTAATTTTTGATTTTCAAAAACTATTGGTCTGCCCTCCCATCCTGCTCCAATCGCATGGAAATTCTGCGATGATATTGGCGACACGTAGAGGCAGTAGGAAAAATACGGGGATTTTCAAAAATACCCGACCCCATTTATGAAACATGAGCCTTTGAGGGCACATATCGGATAAATGGGGTTTGCAAATCAGCTCACGACTACCAGCTTCTACGTACGTGTACATGTCGTCAGCTGGAACCACATCCAGGTTATTTTCACTTCAAAAAGCAAATCAAAAAGTAAGAGGGGAGGGTTTTAGGGGATTATGCATTCACTAACTCGCCAAATAACAAAACACCAATGCCGATCTTCACAAAAAAATTGTTACACATCACAAAACCCGCAACTCTGATAATCTAAGCCGACGACCAAGAAGTATAAGATCATGGCAAGAGGTAGACCTCCTGGAACCAAGAATAAGTCAAGTCATTCCGCTGGAGGAGACAGAAGATCTTCCAAGTACAAGAAGCAACAGGCAGCAAAACAAGCAAGAGGACGACAGCACATAGCTGATGCATTTGCCAACGCCAGACGACAGCAATTGGAAACTCCCCAATGGAAAGAGCACCCCTTGTCAAAGAATAACTTCGAAGCATCACAAAAGCTGCTTGCCAAAGTGCTTGATCATCCTTCAATGCCCAAAGGAAAATCAGTGCCGACCAGAGGAATCATTGACCAGAGAAGCGACAATTGGGATATCAGCTATGACATTCCATCTACTACCAATGAAGAAGAGAGCGATGGGTTCTATAGAAGAGTATTAATACCTCCTGCTGGCACACCATTGCGAACATACCTTGATGAGGCAAAGGCACATATAGAGAAAAATGAGTTCTGGAGAAGACGCCAGTACTACGTGACGGGATCATCATCAAAGAAACGTTGATGAAGGCGCTTGCAACATCTACAGTGATGATTAACGATGCAATTGTCAATGCTTACCTTGCTCTCCTTGTTCAAAAGTGCCATTACTCTGGGAAAAGAAGGAATGTTAAGGCAAAAAACTCGGGAATGTGGCGGACACAAGACGGAAGAAAGAAAGTGGAATCTTACCTGGCGCGTACAAGCCACCCTGTCAATCTCTTTCCTGTATTCTTTGGAAGCCAGAATGCTGGACATTGGGCAGCTCTCATTGCTTGCAATGAATGTTTTCCTGCAGAAGAAAAACGAAAGTATATCTTTATTGACAGCTTGGAGTATTCAAGGCAACATAATTTCCTTGCAGTGAAACAAATGTTGGGTGCTGAGGAAGATGATCCCGATTTCGTGATAATAAACTCACCTAACCAGGCCCTGGGATCAAACGATGGCGCTGTGTACACCCTTGCAGCATGCGCTCACTACGTGTTGCAAGATGGCAACCGGTTGCCTTCCTCATTCCGATTCCAAACTGATTGGCAGAGCTTGGAGGTGCCATGTATTCGAATCCCTTGTGAATGAGAAGATCAATATGGAGGATCCAGTTCTTTCTTGGATGGAACTGCAATATGAAGCATAACATTAAGCAAGTTAGAAGCATTAGACATAGCCTTTGGCGCCAGCATGACGTTGAGTGTACTCACAACTCCTTGATGAATTGGTGAAGCTTTTTGCCAGATGCAGGGGGCGCTGTATAAGCTACATGGTAAAGCATAATCAAATGCATTCCTTTCGGTAGTAGTAAGCAGTGCAGTAGCAAGATACAATCCCACTCCGCTGCTGCTGCTTTCAAAGAATGTCGACCGAAGCGAATTTTGGATCAAATGTTGGAATCAACACGTTCTCTTTTCAAAGCTTCACACTTTCTATAAGAACAAGTGATTTAGACACAGGTTCCGTCCATGATCACTCCGTACCGGTCCAGGTCGATATTTATGAGAAGGAGAGATTCTTGCCAAATCCGTAAAATACTGCCGCTGATTTGTTGACTGGTGATTGATAATCCATGAGCTGTTTTCTTGAAGCTGGCTGTGCTCCACCAGTCTCATCCTTGACTCTTTTGATTGTGGTGATGTTGATCGGAGCAATGACGTTTGCAAAATTGAAAATGCAGCTCACGACAAATCACATCGCGACATATCCGGGTTCAAAGTGCTTAATTTTTGATTTTCAAAAACTATTGGTCTGCCCTCCCATCCTGCTCCAATCGCATGGAAATTCTGCGATGATATTGGCGACACGTAGAGGCAGTAGGAAAAATACGGGGATTTTCAAAAATACCCGACCCCATTTATGAAACATGAGCCTTTGAGGGCACATATCGGATAAATGGGGTTTGCAAATCAGCTCACGACTACCAGCTTCTACGTACGTGTACATGTCGTCAGCTGGAACCACATCCAGGTTATTTTCACTTCAAAAAGCAAATCAAAAAGTAAGAGGGGAGGGTTTTAGGGGATTATGCATTCACTAACTCGCCAAATAACAAAACACCAATGCCGATCTTCACAAAAAAATTGTTACACATCACAAAACCCGCAACTCTGATAATCTAAGCCGACGACCAAGAAGTATAAGATCATGGCAAGAGGTAGACCTCCTGGAACCAAGAATAAGTCAAGTCATTCCGCTGGAGGAGACAGAAGATCTTCCAAGTACAAGAAGCAACAGGCAGCAAAACAAGCAAGAGGACGACAGCACATAGCTGATGCATTTGCCAACGCCAGACGACAGCAATTGGAAACTCCCCAATGGAAAGAGCACCCCTTGTCAAAGAATAACTTCGAAGCATCACAAAAGCTGCTTGCCAAAGTGCTTGATCATCCTTCAATGCCCAAAGGAAAATCAGTGCCGACCAGAGGAATCATTGACCAGAGAAGCGACAATTGGGATATCAGCTATGACATTCCATCTACTACCAATGAAGAAGAGAGCGATGGGTTCTATAGAAGAGTATTAATACCTCCTGCTGGCACACCATTGCGAACATACCTTGATGAGGCAAAGGCACATATAGAGAAAAATGAGTTCTGGAGAAGACGCCAGTACTACGTGACGGGATCATCATCAAAGAAACGTTGATGAAGGCGCTTGCAACATCTACAGTGATGATTAACGATGCAATTGTCAATGCTTACCTTGCTCTCCTTGTTCAAAAGTGCCATTACTCTGGGAAAAGAAGGAATGTTAAGGCAAA